AGGGCCATGTCGGGGGGGACTCTCCAGAGCTTTGCACCTTGCTTCGCCCAGCTGTCGGCGAGCCCGTTGCCTCGCCGACGCCACGCGTCAGAAAACGAGAAAATGATTTACCAGCGGACGCCAACGGAATACCTCCAGCTCGGCAGACTGGGCACGTTTGGCCCGCTACTCTGCCCAGGGGCGACAGTTGGCGCTCAAGGGGCCCAGGGCCTTGGCAGCGTCCTTCGCGCACGCCATGGACCCCGAACCATCATTGAACAATGAAAGGCCCGTCCATCTCGGGCCTCACCGAGAACCTAGAGAGCACGTGGAACGCATAGTCCTCCGCGCCCCTGGGCGACCAAGCAAATGGCCCCCAAAAACACACGGCACCGCACATGCACAACGGAAGGTTCCGTCATCACTGAAGCAGACAGCCGCCCAGCCCGCTCTGCGCAGGCGTCCGCGCTAGATAAAATACGGCGATCCGCAAGTAACACCCCCTCACCTGCCGAGGTCCTTGGGCGGGACCCCCCTGGCCACGTCCACCGATATGTATATATCTATATGTTATATCTATATGTATGTATGTCTGTCTGTCTGTCTGTCTGTATGTATGTGTGTATCTACACATACACACATACATACACGCATGCATGCATATGCCCTCCTTGAAAGTCATACGTGTCGTTACCCGGCGCTGAGCCCTTCGGGGCTCGTGCCAGCGGCGAAGACACCTCGATTCCGCGATCCCTTCGGTTTGTGCGGCGTCGGTTCGGAAGGCTGGCGCGGTGCCCTCCTCTCGTCGCACAGGCTTCCATTCTTCTTCACCTTATCCTCTATCTTCGCAATCCCGCCCATGAGGCCCCCCCTGTTCCCCTCCCCACAGTTTCAGGGCCTGGCGCAATGCCCTCTTCTCTGCGCAATCCTATGCGTGAGCCGTTTTTCTTCTCCCCTTTTTTCCTTGCAATCGTATATGCCGGGCCTCCGGTCGTATCATTTGCGTCATATTCGTCTTCGTCTTGTTCATTTTTTACTTTCTACCGTTTGTGCATCTACATATATATATATATATATATATATATATATATACGCACACACACACACCTCTCTCTCTTGTTTGGTTTCGCCCCCTCTCCCACTCTCTCCTCTCCTCTCCCCTGCCCCCCCCCCCCCCCTGACGCTGCCCCCGCCGTTCGTTCCATCCCCGTGTTTCCCCGTTTTCCATCCCCTCCTCTTTCCTTCCTCTCCCTTGCTCTGCTCGTCCTGTGTCCTTTCCATTGAGTTGCCATTCCGTCGCGTACATTGCCGTGACAAAAGTATGATGCGGTCTTCGTTCAGCGTGGCCCACGACCGGCGGAGTGGGCGGAGTGGGCGGAGTAAAAATTACTCCGCGCGGACATGCATCCCGTCCAATTTTTTATACAGGACTGGGCGGAGTAATTTCCGTTCCTGTTTTGAGATAACAGAGTTATGAACGAGAGGGATACAAATTACTCCGCGGGACCGCGGACGCCGCGAGGCCACGTTAGGAATCTTCGGAAGGATAAGAGATTCCAATATCTTACAAAACCGCACAATCTTGTGTCACGGCTGTGTACCCCGCGTCGGGCCCGATACTTTGCGCCCCCCGCGCAATGCGCAACTTCCTGCCCGCTGCGCCCAGCGATGCCGTCGCCCGTCGGCTGCGCCGTCAAGGGCCCGCGCGCTGCGCAGAGGGCCTCGGGCGAGAAAAACGCGGGCGCGACGGCAAGCAGCTCCCGCGTCGCCGTCGCGCGCGACGGCGTCTCAGGCAGGGCAGAACCTGAACGGTGCTTCTCGTTATCACTTTGTTTTCGTTTTCCCTCGCTTTTGTCTCCGATCCGCCTTCGCTGCGAAACGAAGTCCAAACGAACACGGCCCACGACATCACCAAAAACACCGTTTATGTCCTGCCCTGGTCTCAGGCCCCCCCCCCCCCCCTCGGGCAGAGGGCCCCGCTGGGGACGCGCGCGACCGCCCGCGCGCGCGTGCCTGTCCGAGCGTTTCGGCCCGCGCGCGACCAGGCGGCAGCTCGGCCAGGGGCGCCGTGGATGGTCTGTTTCCGCCTTCTCCTGCTCCCGCCGCCGCGGCCCCCGCCGCGGACTCCTGGCGGGCGCCCCTGCGCATGCTGGCGGCCGCGCGACTGCCCCCAGCAACGCGTGCTTCGCTGCGGCCGCGGTCGCCGGCCAGAAGCTGACCTGCTTCTACTTCGGTTCCGTCGGCGCCTGGGAAACTCTCCTCAAGGCCATCGGGAGCCGCGCCACGATGGTCGACGCCCACGGAAGCGACGTCGTTGGAGCTCATCAAGCTCTAGCGGGGAACCGCGCGTCTCGCGGCCACGCCCAGGTCGTCGAGTCAATCGGCCAAGGCGAAGCGCGCGTCGTGACCGACGTCGACCGCGGCGACGTCCACATGCTTTTCTCTGACGGCGTGGAACAAGATGCTGCGTCCGACCAGGCCGTCGCCGCCGCCATCCTGGCCTATTGCGCGCGGCCCTCGGCAGCGAAGCCCGTCGACGTCGGCATGTGTGTCGGCCCTGTAGCGGCAGCGCAGTGGCCGTGCCTCCCCGCCCACTTCCCCACCTTGTAGCCTCTCCCTCCACCCTCTACTCCTCCTCGCCCTTTGCACCACGACTTTTCCAGAATCAGCAGCGGCGGCGGCCTGCGACGCGTCGGAGAGAAGTCTGAGAACCATACTTGACCAAAACGGTTGGTCCATGCCGCCGGCGCGTTGCCCCTGCCGCAAGACCGCAAGACACAGGGCATTCCTTTGACGACGGCCAAGCTCGCCGCCCGCCCGCGCACGGGCGCCACGAGCGTTTCAGAATCGATGCACACATATATGAATCATGCGTAGTCGATGAACAGGCATCCTGCGAGCCCAGCAATGATTCTCTCTGCCACAAAAAATACAAGTTCCAGCAACAGCGACCTAGGTTGTAGCCCGTCCGTGCATGTGCGCTGCCAAATGTTCATACCCGATGCAGACGTATAATAATGCTTATGCTGCTCCCGTCGTACTTAAGGACCACATCCCAGAAATAATTTCGAGCACCCAACAGTGTCTCCCGGGGCCCGACCGGTGAAAACCCTCGAATTTCGGTATTTTTCTGGGGGGGGCTCGAAATTCTTTCTCGTGATCATGGCTAAAGTAGGCTGGAACATCATAAGGTGATGTGTCAGTCGTAGAGGACGAAACAAACCAAGTTAGCCCAATCGCGCCTTTCTTTGCCGCGAGATCTTGGGTTCCTTCGACGCACAAGCGACCAAGTTCGCAGCCCGCCCGCGCATGTGCGCCGCCAGAGCTCCATACTCTGTGCACGATTATTTGTCGCATGCGTAGTTGATGAAACAAAAACACCCTGTGAGCTCAATCCTGGTTTTCTCTGCCGCGGAACAGTGGATGTGTACGTGCGAGACGACCTACTTTGTGGCCTGTCCGTGCATGCGCGGCGCCAAAGCTCCACGATCGATGCAAACATAAAGATGCGTCATGCGCACGTGATGGCGGCACCCGTCCGCGAGCACACTCTACGCCAAATGCCGTCTTTTCCTCCGTCGATCCCCCCGGTGGAGGGCCTCGGTGACCAACCGGCGAAGGAGCCTCCAGGAGGCCCCCTGAGGCCCGACAAGGCTTCCGAGAGGCGCCACGCCTCTGTACATTAGCGGAAAACCCCCGACGTTTCGTGATGGACCGTGCTACGGAGAATGCGCCCCGGGAGGCGCGGAGCTCCGTCTTCTCCCGCTTCTGCCCCCCCGTGCCTGCGCGCAGAACGCACACAATTTCCTGACGGCGCGTGTTCCGGAGAATGCGTCCTAGAAAGCGTTGGGCTTCCTCTTCCGCCGTGATTACCCTGTTAGATTTTCGAGACACTCTCGCCGTTTCGCTTCCGATGGGCGGGCGCCGGAAAAGGGGGAGGGGGAGAAGGAGAAAATAACGAAGGGGGGAGGAAGAGGAAAAGGAGGAGGTGAAGCAGGAGGAGGGAGAGGAGGAGGAGGTGAAGGAAGAGGACGAGGAGGAACAGGAAGACATTAAGGAGAGGATGGATTTGTCGTCGTAGTCGTCAACGTCTACGCTCGACGTTGCCATCGTCCGAGATCGCGTCTGCTATCGGGGAAGTCTGCGCTAGAACCTAAGCGCGCGCGAAGCGCGCGTGGTCGAGTATACACGTGTGTATATATATGTATAGATGTATATAAGAGAGAGAGAGAGAAGAAAAAAAACAGAGAGAGAGAGAGAGAAAGAAATCAATAAAGAGAGAGAGAGAGAGAGAGACTAGAGAGAGAGAGAGAGAGCGGGGAAGAGAGAGAGAGAGAGAGAGACAAACAAAAACCTTACTGACAAGCTCTTTGGGGAAACTCTCTGGGGTCGGCGCAGGACCCCCCCTCCCCGGCGCGCAAAGCGTGCCAGGGAGGGGCAACCCGAGCCGCTCACCAGAAAGAATTTCGAGCACCAGAAACGTACCCAATAACTCAAGGGCTTTCACGTGTCGGGCCCTGGGAGACACTCGTCCGACACTGTTTCGACACTCTTTCGACACTTTTCTTGAGAGGGGCCCCCAAACACGTGTGCTCGCGAGCGTTCTCTTACTCGGCGCTTCGACCTCGGGCGGCAGGGGAGGGGGAGGGGGCGGGGGCGGGGGCCTGGCTCCAGGCCTGTGCTCCGTGCGGCCGTGTGCGGCAGTGCGTCCCGTGGGGGAGGACTCCACCTGCCTGCAACAGGCGTCAAAGCCAGCCAAGACAATACCTACTCCACGAGGGGGGGGGTGGGGAGGGGGGGTGCGAGGGCCCGCGCCGATCGGCAAAGCGTCGAACATTCAAACGCGTTTCAAGCAAGAACGAACAACACAACGGAGCAGCAACGGAGACGAACACGCGAAGCAAAACGAAGGCAAGAACCAAGCTGAACAGCGTTGTCGTGGGCCCTTGGTGAGTCAGAGGGCGGTCACCTCGCGACGTCTGCTCCTCGTCGCTCGGCGCTCGCAGGGCCCGGGGGCCCGCCGCTGGGTGATGCTCTGCATCTCGTCCGCCAGGTTCCGCAGCGGCTGGAGGAGGCTCCTGCGCAAGCTGATCATGTCCTGCGCGCCGCGAGGGCTCCGCGAGGCGTCGCGGGGACGCCGACGGCGTCGGCGCCTTCCTCTCGGAGGCCTCTGGGCAGGGTGACGAGATCCGTACAAATCCTGCTGAGCCGATCTTCCACCACCAGTGCCAAAAGGTAAGACGGGGGAGAAGGGAGGATGGGGAGGTCCTCCACCTCCTGCTCCTGCTCCTCCGCTTACCTCTCCTGCCCATGGTAATGGTGGTGGAGAACTGGCCCACCAGATCCACCGCCACTGCCCAGGCCCATCCAGAGTCCTCGCCGCCACGGCCAGGCGCAGCTCGGAAGACTGGCGCTCTGTGTATCCCTGACGGGGGGAAGCATCATGGCACGACGGAGACGGGTCACGAAGGAAGCGGGTCCTGCACCCCCTGAGGAGTCGGGTCGCCAGGGTGCACTTTGGTCAGTCATGGTACTAGAAGAATGTAACAGTACGACTGGCCCGAGCTACATTCCAGGATGCCAGAACATCCAGCGGCCCTTGTTTCTGCAGCCTGTGTGGAACGTTCGGAAGTCTTGGGAATCCTCGAAGCATTGAAAATCTTGGAACGTATGAAGTCAGCCCACCTGAATAGATCACGAGCGTTGAACATATCCGTATCCGCACCCTCGCGATCCGGATACGCAAGAGAGCCCAGAATCGAATCGATAAATCGGATTGGCGATCGACATGAATCGGATCGGCGGAAATCGGCAACCGAGTCGGGAAAAGTCGAATCGGCGGAAATCGGCAGGCTGATACGCGTCCAGTACGAAATCGGAATCCGAATTGAATCCCAAGTCGAATGGAATCGGAATCGGAAGCCGTCGAAGTCGAATCGAATCGGAGGAATCGGAACGAACCCTGGATAATTACGCGGTCCCGCGAATACGTTCCGCGCGGGGGCATCCGCGGAAGCACGCTCCATATCCGCGGGATCCCAGCCCGGGGCTCGGCCCGCGAGGCCGCGGTCACGACTGCTCTTTCGCCCACGACTCGTGCTTGTTGAAGTCCGGGGGCCCGCGGCTGCTCCGGGAGCCCCGGAAGCGGCCAGACAAAACCTTCGAGGCACGTCTCCCTCGGGGCCCCCTCTCTTCCGCGGCAGTGCTGGAGGTCCGCGCCGCCACGGGCCGACGCAGCTCGAAAAACTCGGCCCGACACGAGGAGGGGCCCGGAGCAACAGGGACCGCTCGTGAGCGGCCAGGGCTGGCCGGTCGCGGCATGCGCTGCCACAGGGGCGGCCTGCGCGTTCGGGTTTTAGCCCCCTGCGCGCCCCCCACGCGCAGCAGAGGTCGCTTCGGCAAAGGACGAATCGGAATTCGGGGAACAAAAAGTGGCATAAACATAAAAACTCGGAGGTCCGCGCGGATTTCTCGGATCGGCGCTGGGGCCCCCTGGCGGCGCCTCCGGCGCCGCCCCTGGCGCGAGAAATCCGAGCGGACCTCCAAGTTGTTATGTTTATGACACTTTTTGCTCCCTCAGGATCGGGCCGCATCGGCACGGAGTCGAAACCGAATCGTATCGGCTGCAGAAGGACTCACAGCGGCACCATGCAGGCAGCGGCCCGTGTCGGATCGCCCGCAAATCGAAATCGAATCGGATCGGGTCCGAGTCGAGGTCGAATCGGATCGACCTGATCGAGCCCCTGCCTGTGCCAAGAGGCGCCCCCCATCGCAGCGCTCCCGGCCCCCTCGATGCCGCGATGCCGACCTCTGGGCCCCCCTGCGGAGCCGTAGGGCTGCCTTGCCGCCGCGAGACGGTTTTCCGAAACGGCTGGTAAGGAAGATCGGATCCCGGATACCCGACGGCTCGAAAACATCGAGACGGCATGTCTTTAATTCGTTCTCGCGTTAGGAAGCTGGTTTAGAGCCCTGGGGTCGTCACAGAACAATTCGGGATGAAAACATAGCCCTGCGGAAGCCGTCGAGAGGTCTAGGGACCCACGTCTCGAGCAAAAACGAGCCGCTACGTGTCTAGTGTTGCCCAAAGTGTCAGGATGTCACCAGCTTAGCGCTCCATCTTGGGGCCCATCCTCACGGGGGCAACCTGAGCCCCGCTGGCCGATCTACCGTCCCTACGTAGTCAATCAGATCGGTGAGTGCCGTCTCCCTCCAATTTCGCAGCACCCATCCGCACTTGGAGAGGGAACGCCAGGAGGGCCACCCTAAACTGTCCCAATCGGGCTTGGGATGGTTCTGACAGTGATAATGTATGGCTTTTCGGCAATTCACTCTGCCCTCCAGTTCCAGCGAGGAGATCGGCGCTGTTGGCGCAGAGAATAGCACGGCAACAGAACAGATGCATATGCACAACCACTCGAGGATGAAGAATGCGCGACCACATCCAAGAACAACCGACGATCAAAGACTCTTAACGCATCCGTTCCCCCTTTTCTCCCCCTCCTAAGCTCAAAGAGCCCCGATACACCACCTCCTGTTGTACCCTATTTTCGCAGCCCCATAGTGTCGTACGTACGCAGTTCCTGCAAAGAGAGGCAGGGGGGGCAGGCGCATTCCCTCGCGATGGAGGTGAAGCCCAACATAATGATCACTACAACGACGCCGGTGGTCAGCAACTCCCCGCTCAAACATCGAATTTCGCTTCTGCTCTCTCCGCTCTGTGCATCACCAATCTGTGGACTTAACCCCACACGCCTTCAGGGCATAGAACAGACTAGTGTGCGGGGCCAGAGTGGCGAGGCGATTATCCTGAATGCCATCACTCAAAGCTGCCATCACTCAAAGCTGCGCCCCACCTGCGCACGAAAAAACGTGCAGCCCACGAGTTCGGAGGCGCGACAGGCAGCCGTGCGGGGTGGGGGCAGCAGAGAAGGAAGAGAGAACGCCAGCTGGGATGACGGGTTGGGCGATCAATGTCCTGTTGACTATCCTGAATCCACCTGGGTGCGTTCTGGTAATTTGAGCATCGTTTCACCGATCCCCACCCCCAGCGGCGTGGCCTGGGCCCCACTGGCCGATTTACCCCCCTAGATGGGGATATAGGCCGTTCCCTGCGGGTTTCGAGGGGTATATCCCCAACTGGGGTGGTAATTTGGTGGGGGTCTCGAAGGGGATGAGGATGGGGATGGGGGTCGGATAAAAGGGTAGTGATAATAACAGATGCGCAGCAGTCGGAAATACGCCCAATCTTTCTAATTGGCGTCTGGGTCTCACCGCGGGAGGCCTCGGATACATACTGGCAGACGCTCGCGCCCACGGGGCAGGCTGTGGGCTCGACACGTCAAGGCCTCGCGACACTCACGTGTGTGGGCTTCGCTGCAGTGCTTGCCAGGATAGGTAGTGATTAGGAAACAACTGCTGGAAGGTCTGCGCCGGAAAGATTAAGGAGGATTAGGCCCCATTGCGGGGCTGTTACGCCAGAATGGGCTTCGGAGTAAGCGGGATTAAGCCGGATTAAGCGGGAATAAGCTGGATCATTCCGGATTAAGCCGGACTTTGGACCAGGGCGAAATCAGAATTTCACCTCCCAGGAGTTGCATCCGAAAAATGAGCATCGGCATCTGAGATGAACGACAAAGGGTGTTCGGAATCTCGCGAGGCATATACGTACGCCCGCCATGCCCTGAGATCCTCCGTCGCGGCGAAGGAGGAAGGACACGACGCCACGCCGACCGAGGCCAGACCTCACGATCCCATCCCTGTGAGATTCCTCGAGGCTCCCGGGGGACCCAGCGCGGGGCGACGGCGCGCGCCGTGCTTTTTTGCCCACGGCGCCCAGGTCTCAAGACGTGCCATTGCTCTTAGATTTAGGTCGGGCCTGTCCCCCTACAGGGGGAGCTTGGACGAAAAATGCAACATAGTCACACAAAAAATGCTCCAGAAATGCCCAGAAGTACTCCAAAAATCGTGCCCAGCCCATTTGTTATACTATGTTTGAATGTTCCTCCTGCAGGGGGACAAGCCCGACTTAAGCCCCCAGTGGGACCGCCCGCATGCGTCCCACACGCCTAATTTGGTATTTTCACCCACCCAGTGCAGCGTTTCGTGGCCTCATAGGGAGCTTCACCGACGGCCCCAGTGCTACCGCCCGCATGCGTTCCCCCCCCCGCCCAGCGCAGCGCTTCGTGGCCCCATAGGGAGCTCCACCGAAGAAGATATTCACAATTGCGGTACCCACAACTTCACATGGTTGGGCCTTTCGCAAGGATAATTCTGAATACTCCTCCTGCAGAGGGACAAGCCCGACTTAGCTTCGATCCCCGAGGCCATCCACGGCGACCGCACGTCCGAAGGCCGACCGCGCCGACCGCGAAGCACGACACGACAGCGGCCCCGGCCGCCGGCAGCCTCAGCAGGCCGCAGCGGCGCGGCAAGCGGCACGGCAGCGGACCGAACCGAACCGAACCGACCGAGCCCGGCTGCGGCGCTCCGCGAGACCGACAGACCTGCAAACTGCGAACGCCCTGCTCCTCCTCCTCCCACTCCTCCTCCCACTCCTCCTCCTCCTCCTCCTCCTCCTCCTCCTCCTCCTCCTCCTTCTCCTCCTCCTCCTCCTCCCACTCCTCCTCCTCCTCCTCCTCCTCCTCCTCCTCCTCCTCCTCCTCCTCCTCGCACTCTTTCCCTCGGGCCTCCTCGCCTCGGGCGCGCAGGCGGCGCGTTGGACAAGCTGATCTGCGCCTGGGGCAGCACCGCCGACGGCGCCCTGCGGCCTTGAGCCGCAGCTGGCGCTCGGATCAGGACTCGGCGGCGGACAAGCCTCTCCCTTCAGCAGACCTCCCCTGAGTGACAACGGCCCGGGACCAGAACCGACGGGCCCGGACCCGCAAAGATGACGGCCGCGACGCCCTCGCGCGAACCGAAAACGGCCAATTCGCTAATCGCCGTGTCGGGGTAGGAGGTCTGTCCACCTCTGAATCTCGGGAGCGGCCAAGAGGGGGGTGTCCAAGAGGGGGGGTTGCAAATCATGACCGGCGGCATGTGCGCGGCCCAGCGGGGGGGCCAGGGACGTAATGAAATAAGAAGAGGCGCCAGAAGAGGCACCATGAAATCTGGGGAGATATCATGGCCCATGCCATGATATCCACCGCCCCCTAGTCACCACCCCCCTCTTGGCCGCCCCCGAGAATCATAACGCGGGTCTCCGGCGGCCGTCCGGGGCGCGTCGGGCACCCCGCAGACGCTCTCGGCGAGGCGCCACTGCTGAAGCGCATCCCGAGGCACGAGGTCTCTGGAGCCCCGCTCCCAGTGCCAGGCGTGCCAGGCTAGCATTAAGTCGGGCGTGCCCCCCTACAGAGGGATTTTCGACGAAACAAAATACTCAGACAATACTCCAAAATGGTCAAAACATACTAACAAAAATGGTCCCCAGACTATTTTTTCACTATTTTTGAATATTCCCCCTGTAGAGGGACAGCCCCGACTTAAGGCTAGCAAGGGGAAGCACATGGCGCTCCTCAGAGAGCGTCTGCGAGAGCGTGGGCAGTACAGAAGCAGCTCCGTGGACAAGCGCCCGTCTGAAAGCCAGGGCCCCGAGACAACGGGGTTCCCGCCTCGGAGAGGTGACGCCCGTAAGAGAGTTCCACTGCCCCCTCCCGAGCCCCCATCCAACCCCTGCCCCCACACGCAGCGACCCTGACCTTCCAGAGAGCTATGTTTTAGCACTGGAGACCTAAAAACCTAAAAACAAGCTGAACGAAACAGCCTAAAACCAAGACGTAGAATAGCCGTTGGGTAGGTTTCTAAGTCGGGTGCTAGTTGTTCGCCCTCCTGGAAGGTCAGGGGAAGCCGACCGGATCCCCCCCCCGCCAGCTGGGTGGACTGCATGTTGATGGTCCCCCGCACGTTGACCACGGCCACCGCGCTGGTGAGACTGTTCACCTCCTCCTGCGGGCGCGAGCGGCGCTTGCCGTGGGCGGCGACCGCGACGACGAGGGCGAGCCACGGCGAGCGGGCCGAGCAGGGCCCCAGACATCCGAGGATGCCTTGTGTTGCTTCGGTCCGCGGCGCAGACCTCCAGACCACTTGCCCCTAGGGAATAGTTTCGGGCGCTGGCAGAATTGGGTTTGGTGGGACCTGGTTTAGTGATGTGTACTGGGGGGCGCGCCCCAGCCCCGTTCCACTAACCGGAACTGCCGTCACCCGAAACAACACGAGCTACGGCAGACCTGGTTTAGTGATTCTGGCAAATTTAGGGGCTCCGAGGCCCTACCACTAACCGGGTCCCCTTACCTGGGGTCCTGGCTATACCCGATAGTTCTTCAAGCGGGCAGAAGACACCGCACCGTGCGCAGCAACTGCAGTATTTCGGCGGCGCGCCCAGGGGGAAATGAGAAGAATGAGCATGCCGTCTCCGAAGGCGGCAGGGCTTCTCGGGAGCCCTCAGGCCTTCTGAGAAGCTGTCTGCGTCTTCGGAGAAGGCTCAGAACTTACAACTCTTCTCAGAAGGCTACAAATCTCAGCAACAACGACTGGTCGACCGGGTGTTATGTTGGTTAGCCCGTGGGGCCGCGCTGGCTGGGCCTCATGCTCGCTCGTTTCACGGTCCCTTTGCTCGTATTCTCATGGCTGGTGGGACAGGACTATCTACCGCAAGTAGGTGGTGACCTGACCGATGCTGGCTGGGAGGCTGTAGAATGGTTGGGGTTGCTGTGCTGCACGGTGTGGTATGGACAGGGCCTGACCTTAGTGGGCCCCGGAAACGGCAGGGCCGCTTTTTCCACCGTTTCCGAAAGAAGGCTCTGAAAATGAAGACGGCACAACAACGGCGACCGGAAACGGCAACGACAACGGCTCCGGGATTGTAGCCGGAGCCGGAACCGGCAACAACAACGGCGGCGGAACCGGTGTAAAAGAACGGCGTCGGAACGGGCAACAAAAACGACAAAACGGGACCGGTGAAGCAACGGCCCTGTGGCTTCCAGGGCCCACTGAGGTGTGGACAAGGCTTATGTTGCTCCCATCGTGCTTAAGGACCACATCCCAAAACAAATTTCGATAACCCGGAAACGAGTCGAAAGAGTGTCGAAACACTGTCGAAATAGTCGGACGAATGTCTCCCAGGGCCCGACACGTGAAAATCCTAGGAGTATTTGTGTACTTTTTTGGTGTTCGAATTCGTTCTCTGGCGATCGAGACTAAAGTAGGTTGGGACATCATAAGACAAGGTCTGGCGGAGGAGGTCATCGGCGGTGTCGGCGAAGAGCGCAGCTCCCGCGACGGTGCCGAGGGCGCCGTGCTCCGAAGGCCACGGGACGAGCGGCCTCCCCGAACCATTGGGGGTCCGGCCCGCTCCTGCGCGGGCTGCGCTTGTTTTTCCGTGGGCCGCATGCGCAGCGGTGCAAGGGGGGCGGCTTAACCGCACCAGGTTGGGACGCACAAAGACATTCTAATACTTTACGTTCTCCTTGGAGGCGCGCGTCCGGCCCAAACATACAGTATACCCATTTTGTAGTAGATCGTTTCCCGAACGGTGTGGCCAGATAGCGCCCGCCACGAAGAATATACTATAAGATTTCTCGGTGCGCGCATCGGCCCCAAGGGGGGCGACGCACATACAGTATAAGGATGTTGGGGTGACGCCGATATGTGACCACATGTGAGCCCGATCCCCACCCCCAACGATTTCTGAGGGGTGGGGTGGGGTTCACACTGCTCAACAGCTCTACCAGATCGCTGTATCTGATTATACTCCACGTTTGTCCGACACAACCGCATCATGTCTGCGAACCAAAATAGCGCAAGATCTATCACAATATTTGTGATGCAGTACAGACGGCAGCGTACTTACGGCTCCGATGCGGCCGAAATGACACCCCAATTGCAAAAATGCATCGCCATCGCCCTTGATTTCGAAACGCGTGCAGCGACCGCGGGTCCTGTCGGCGCGACGCACCACGGTTGCGATTGCCATTTGACCTGCTTTTTCGCAAACTCTGAACGTGAACGGAGAAAAACAACTGAAATTATCACGCGGTCCCGGAGACGACAGAGGCGAAAGCCTCAAGCGTAGAATTGAGTCTGGACCACCGTGCCCATTAGATCCCTCGCCTCGATGAACTTCGCGGGCGGCAGCGCACGGTTTTTTGAAGGACTCCGGCATGCGCGCGGGACGACGCGCGCGTGCGCGAGTCGCCCCCTTGCTTTGCAAACTGATTCGTTGACATCTGATGGTTTTTGATGACCGAGCGCGCGCGCATAATTTTTTGGTGTGTTTTCTTTTAAATTCTGAGGAGGGGGGCGATACCAGCCTGCCTGGGATGGTACGAGCTCATAGCTCGGACGGACAATGGGGCAGAATGCGCGGCGCCCCCAGCGGAGCCGCGATCCTTGTTTAACCAAGAGGGCTGCGTCACAGCGCCCCCCAACAACCCTATAACTATGTTCATAGCTCTGGCGCGCCTCCTCGCCGCGCCTTTGTGGAGCGAGGCGCGGCGCCCCCTCGCGGAGCCCCCCACTGGGAGCGGCCTCTCACGGGTCGTTGGGCCCCTTCAGCTGGGCGGGCCCGCAGCCGTCGTGGCCGACCCGACCCGCTCGTCGACGGTCAGGCTCGGGCCCTGCTTGGCCCTGGACGGCCCCGCCGCCATCCTCGCCAGCCCGTTGGCAAGGTTCGCCTTCGGGCCCGTCGCGCTGAGGCCCCGCGCCCTCAGCCCCGCCTTCAGCTCGTCCACCTTGTAGCGCACCAGCTCGTCTCTGACGGCTGCCTGCTCGCCGCTGGGTGGAACGCCGTAGAGCTCCTCGCACTGACGCTCCGCGATCCTCGACGCGACCTGTCGTCGCTGCCGAGGTCCTTCACTTTTGATCGGCACGGGGCCTCCCGCTGCCGATCCCTTGTTCGCGTCCTCCGAGGCTGGAGACGGTGATTCCTGCTCTCGCCCGCCGTGAGCGCTCGCGCCCTCTGTGGCTAGAGGCGGTGCTTCCCGCTCTCGTCCGCCCTGAACGCCGTCGTCTCGCCCGTCGTCGGTGCCCCCCATCACCTCGCCGCCCGCAGCGTCGGGCTGGCGCCCCCTCGAGCGCCTCTCGGCGAGGTAGCACACCGCTGCCGCGGCTCCAATCATGTACACCAACATGAGAAGGAACAGCGGCATGACGATGCCAATCGCGCTGCCGCCATACGGGTAGCCGACGCTGCGCCGCGCCGCGGCCGCGGCGCGGCCGCGGCAGCCCCCGCTGCGCCACGCGCATACTGTTGTTAAGACTACCTTCAGCATAGCTGCCGTGGGGTCGCTCACGTGGCCAGCCGCACGCCCTCTTGTCGCTAGCCCCACGAGCTAGAGCAAGACCTCGATCCTCGAGCCACACGGGCACTTCGGCCCGGTGTCAGCTCGGTTCACCGCCGAGTCCAACTTGATCACCTTCAGATCCTTCGTCCGCACGCGCTCCTGCATCCACAGGTCCTGGATACGGAGATGCCGCACTCGGCCTGGCCCCGCTCGGTGGGCCATCCCTTTCGCGGCCGAGCTGTCCGTGCCAGCAACTCCCTGCGCGTGGATCCCGCACAATGCGAGGATCTGCTGCAACAGGATAGCGGAGGCACCCGCCCTGTTGAGAGCCAGGAGCTCTGCCACCCCGCTTGACGTCGCTACGTAGCCATGCGTCGACGTAGTCACCTCCAGGCAGCGATCGCCGGACATCATCACCGTGCACTTCGTGGACTTCGCGTCATCCGCTCCTGCCCAGTCGCTGTCGCCCTCGACGTCCGCCGTGACTGGGAGGCCCTGCACTGGACAGTGCCTCTCCGTCACTGGGCCCCCCACCAGGTACCGCGCAGCACGCCTGAGCCTGACGTCAGAAAGCGGCGTGGGCTTCGACGCCTCCGCCATGATCATCTTCGCTGCGTACTGCACCTGCGGCACGTCCTGGGACAAGTAGGTCGGCACTCCGCCTGCCTTGGGCACACACCTCTTGAGTCGCTCGTCCACGACCGCCTCCTTGGGCACGGAGCCTCCCGTGGCTTTCGAGCCTGGGCTCGTCTGAGGCTTCGTCGTGTCAGCTGGCAGGTCCAAGAGCTCGAGTAGGTTGCCCACGCGCGCGTCATCTGCTCTCCACGCGAAGCGAAGAGAGAGACGGAGACTCCCGCCACTCGATGCGTCGCCTGAGCAGCCTGCCGTGGCCACCGCCGGTGGCGCCCGGCCCCGCTCGACCCAACTGCTCGATCTCGATGTGCTCCTCCAGCAACGCGCCGAGCACGTCGAGCATCGCCAAGACCCCCTCAGCCACGAAGTCGCCTCCGTGCACGCCCAGCGCGACGTCCAAACGTCTCGTTGTAAAGGCTCCAGGGCAAGGCGCGATCCGAACCCGTGGTGGCTGACACTTCTCGATGACGTCGCCGACGCATGCATGCCACAACCTCGACGCAGGTCTTGTACCATAGAGCGCCTAGTGGAGCTGCCAGACCCGCCCAGGTCGTCGCAGCCCAGGCGGTGGCATCACGCGCAACCACTCGTCCATGTCCGCGTGGAAGAACGCCACGCTGGCATCATACAGAGCCACTTGCCTCTGCCTCGCCCGAGCGGCTGTCGTGCACCGCCGCCTCTGGCACGAGGTCGTACGCACACGCTGTCGGAGTCTCCCGGTCACGCACGGACGCCGCGAACAGCTGCAGCCGCTCGCAGTCCTCGCCGTCGAGTCCCAAGTAAGCAGATTCACTGACGTCCACGGGTACCACGAGGTTGGCCACCCTGGGCGCCTTCGACCGTGGCTCGCTGTCCGCAGGAGCTGCTGGTCGGCTCCTCGAGTCCACGTCCATCCCCGCGGAGTCGTCCGCTGAGCCGCCCTCCGCAGGAGATGGCTGGGATGAACTCGCCGCTGTTGCTGCGCCACCTGCTGCTGCTGCCGTCGCGGCTGCGGGGTCGACCGCCCCCGCATCCACCTCCATCTCTGGGGCT